AAATCAATATGTACTCACTTTTGCTCCTAGTTGTAGTCAATTAACAGCAGCTAGTCATAGGTTTGAAAAGAATGCGTGTATGAAGGTTGTTGCTATGTTCATTATCATAGATGAACAACCTTTTAAGGTAGTTGATGGGAGGGATTTAGGCATCTTTATAAGCAATTACAACCACAATTTAGTGTTCCTTCAAGACATACAATAGCAAGAGATTATTTTGAATTATACCAAAATGAGAAGGTCAAGTTAAAAGATTTCTTTAAGTTAAACAGTAGTAAGGTTTCATTAACTACTAATTGTTGGACATCTGTACAGAACTTGAACTACTTAGCTCTCACAGCTCACTATATTGACAATGATTAGAAGTACTACAAAAAGGTAATAAATTTTTTTATAGTAGAAAATAATAAAAGTAAGACATTGGAGAAGCATCTGGAAGAAGTTTTACAAGACTAGAGACTTAGAAATATCTCTACAATCATTGTTGATAATGCTTCAGCAAATGATATGGTTGTGACATACTTGAAAAACAGGTTGAAGAATATAGCTGGACTAGTTTTAGATGTAAAATTTTTTTCACATGAGTTGTTGTAGTTATATACTAAATTTGGTAGTGAATGATGGACTGAAAGATCTTAATATCTCAATTTTCAGCATACGCAATGCTATTAGATTTGTTAAGTCATCTCCTCAAAGGTTATGTAAGTTTAAGGACTGTGTAGAGTTTACTAGAATTATGAGTAAAAAAACTAGTATGTCTAGATGTTCCCACTGAGTGGAATTCTACATACTCCATCTTGGATAGTGCAGAAAATTTTGAAGCTGCTTTTGAGAGAGTCAAGTTTGAGGATCCCAATTTTTTAGACTATTTTGGATCAACTAGAGCACCTACATGTATTTGACTAGGCAGATTCTAGAGTGTTTGTCAAATTTCTAAAAATATTTTATGATGTTATAAAGGTTTTTTCAGCTTTCAACACTGTTAGTGTCCATGTTGCATTGCATCAGTTAGCCCTAGTTTATTGTGAAATCAATTATGCAATGATGAACATGGACCCTATCTTAAGTCATATGGACTTGGATATGAAAAAAAATATGACAAATATTGAGACAACTCTCTCCAAATCAATCACTTGCTATACTTTGGTGTGATATTTGATCCTCAGCATAAATTAAAATATGTGGAGTGGTCTTTTAATGACATACATCTAGATAATCACTACCTTTCTGTTGAACTAGCAATAAGTGTGAAAATCAACCTATCAAGAATGTACAATTGGTATTCCACATCATATGAAAATAATAAGAGATCCCAAAATGGTAATGTTCCTTTGGTAGTTACTGCAGTTGTTGAAATAGTTAATGATGTTGAAATTCCTACCCATATAGCAAGGGAAGATGCATTTAAGCAACATTTAAAGGAAAAAGCTTGGTTGATAAAAAATAAAAAAAAAGCTAGAAACTTACTTAACTGAACCTTGTATTGATGAAGATAAGAAATTTGATATATTAATATGGTGGAAACATAATTTATTAAGGTTTTCTATACCGTCTTGCATGGTAAAAGACGTCTTAGTCACTCCAGTTTCAATAGTGGCATCATAATTTGTTTTCGGCACTGGCAGTAGAGTCTTAGACACATATAGGAGCTCTCTAAATCTGGATATGGCTGAGGCTCTTATTTGTACACAAAATTGATTACGGTCAACGATAACTTAGTTCAAAGAACTCAATGTGAGTACTGAACTAGAAATGTCTGAAAACATTGTTGCAGGTATGTCATTTTTACTTTCTTTTTATTTAATATATTTCATTTGTTCTTACTTTTTGTTTATATTACTAATTGTATCACATATTTATTTATTTTTATTTGTCTAAACTTTGCCAAGAAATGAAGAGAAAAAAAATTAGCAATGAGGCAAATAGGGAGACCACAAATTGTAGCTAGAGCAGCAACTACATCTACAGCTGCACCACCTGTTGCATCATAAGCATAACATATAAGTTGTTGTACAAATCTCTTTAAGTTGTTTAAATAATTTTACAATGTAATTATTAACTATTGATAATGAAATGAATTATTTTTCTTTTTATTTTGCAGTTCATATATTTTTTGAGGATCATTGACAACAAATGACCATTTTGTATATGTGGGTGTATTTTGGGGGGTCATTGACACGCAAAGACCTTTTTTTAGATTTTGTTCAGCACTTAGCTCACATTTTTTTGAATTAGGTTTCTACTATCCTACCTACTTTATTATATTTTAATTGTTTTTTAGTTTGTAATTTAAATGCCTTATGTTTTTTGTAACAATTGTGTTATTACTCATTTTTGCTTTATGATAGATTGATAGAAACCTAACATCCAACTCATATAATTGTTAATTTCAGCTAACTACTATCTTTTGTGGGTGGTCTGTTTTCTATTTTCCTTTTTATTTATTTCCATTAAAAGTTAATTCATGCTAATATGTATCAATTTTCTCTACTTGCAAGGCTGAAAATTGTAGAGTTTGACATTGATCATATTCCAATGTATTAATGAGAACATAATCATTATTTTTCTTTTGGGTTAGTGAATATTTCTTTCTTGATTTATTTTTAGGTAAGACTATTTTCATTTACTAATTCCAATATTTTTTGTTTACAATGTAATATAAGTGTATGGGATTCTTGTGACTTCAACACTTAGTTTCCTCTCTTGTGTTGGTGATTGGTATTTTTTTAATAAATATGAATTCAAATTGTAGAAGCTTACTTTATTCTTATTTCAATTTTTATTTTACTAATATTTCTATTTTTTGTTTGCAGGAGTTTAATTTTTATATGATGTATAATTTTAACTTATTCTACTTCTCACACTTCACACAATGTCACATGCAAATTATAAATTGATCATTGAACACATGAACTTTACAACAATATAATTTTTTATTATATATTTATTGGTTTGTTTGGTTTATATATTCATTTAAAAAATAATGGTAAATGACCAAATTGTTAAAAAATTTAGACAGAGTTTATTATGTATTATGGTTAATGATAATGTATAGTTTAATTATTTGACCATTCCATTGAAATTTTAGACAGATTGCTTGTATTAAAAATTTGGACAAATTGCATGCATTGAAATTTGGACAAATTGAGTTACACATTATCCAGCCCAATAATTTTACAAATTTAATTTCAAATATTAGCTTCACATTATTTTTTAACTATATGATAAATTTGTCATTAAAGGCCTAAGATAGGTTACATAATATTGTAAGTATTTATTAGAAATGTTAATGTTATTTAGACTTTTCTTACTTAAAAATTAGTTGAAGTTCAACATTTTTATTTAGCTTAAAATGGGTCTAAGCCAAATTAATCCATCCAAAAATTATATTAACTGTAATATCTAAACCTGATCAAACTGATGACATTATTTGGATAAATCTGGATATAAATTTAACTTATTTAATTACTTTCAGTTAGCACATTTGTACCGAATTTGACTGCTAATCAGTGCTAGCGAGCACTTAAGGTTCTTTTTTTAGCAGAGGGCTTCAATCAGAACAACATTGTTTGGTCATTTAAGGTGTCATGTTAGCTTCTCAAAATGATGTCGTTTATGCCAACTAAACTTCTGATGTGACATTTAACGTGACAATTCAGCCTTCTATTACTATTTGTTAATAGAATTTGAGCTCAAGAACTAAAGTGAATGATAGAGAAGGAAGTTAAGAACTAACTTAAACTCTCTCAAAAACTAAAGTGAGAATTTAGTCAAAAATTTAAATGGATTTGCAGTCCTATAAATGGAATGAAATTTTTATTTTTTTACAATTTTAAATGATAATTTGTATGGTCTTTTTTAAGGCGTATTTTAAGAAACACATATATAAGAAAATAAAAAATAAGTGAGAGATAAAAATAATTATATATAATAATGTATATGATATTAATTTTTTATTATTCAAATGATAACAAAATTATAAAATAAAATTGCATTCCAAGAAAAAGAAACACAGGATAGACCTCATTTTAGGATAATTTTTTATTACATGGAGAAAAAAGCTAGCTATGAAATAAAAAACAAATCATTTTTTGTTACTTCACATGATACTTTTTATAATAAAAAATAATTCATTAATTCATCAAAATTAATAAAAATTGGTTTATATCATAAATTTATACTATATATATCAAAATAAATTTATATTTCTTATAGTTTGGAGAAAAAACCAGTAGTTATTTCTTATGAATAAAACTGAAAGAAATATTATCCTAAGTTTATTATCATTATAAAATTATCTTATAAAATATTAGTCATTATAATTCCTGCTACGCGTGGATAAGGATGCTGTCTAATAAAAGAAATAATCTTTTATAATGAATATTAGGAAATTATACTAAATATTATAATACATTATAATAACAATATAATATCAATGATATATAAAACCTGAAAATGTTTCTTAATTAACATATGATGCAATTATATTGTTGATTAATGTAGATTTAATATTGTATCTTATAACAGCTTAATTTCTGTTAAACAATGTTTACACTCATAAAAATGACCCAATAATTATTAATTTTTCGGTCATATGTTAATATTTTGTTTTGTATAGTGTATCTTTGAATTAGTTCACTTCTCACAAGGTTGCTTGTTGGTATGGCATATGATAAATTAGAATAAGACACTTTTTTTTAGTAAAAATATGAATCATGAGGGCTTGCTTCTTGGTATAGCCTTTGCATGCGTTGTCATCACGAATCGGACAAAATGAACGATCTCATTCTTAAATTCTGAGAGAAATATATCTACACACGAAGGAAGGGTATATACAATTAAATGCATAAACATAGTAACCCTCGAACTAACAAGACTTGGAAAGGTTAACAAGGAATAATTCTAGTTTATGACAAACCCAGAAGGCAACCTTGAAGCCCTTTTGCCTTACAAGTCTCTTTTATACGTTGTATATGTAAAAGAACTTAGAAACCCAACATCACACATAAGATCAACTTCTGGAATTAATGGAAAGCAAGCATTCACATACGCCTAATCGGTCTTACGAGGACTTTGATCCTTTGTTTACATGGCACAGAGAAGAGGCCCGTGACACCCTTGAACTCCACCTTCCAGGCATGTTGCATGTTCTCTAAATTGCCTGCATGTGGAGTTAATTAATTCCTTTTTTTTTTTCATGTATACTCATCTTAAAAATACTATTTCCTTTTATATATCTTGGATTTGTTTTAAGTTATTCTATAGAATAAATAACTCCATTTTAAGAGCTTAAAAAAAATTAAGATATTACACTAAAAGATTGCACTAGGTCATCTAGGATGAGATTATTTATCTCATTAGAGAACCCCTTGCTTTATTTTTGGGTTTGTTTAGGTCACATCTCGTAGAATTAATAAATAGTCTCATCATAGGTGAATTAATAGAAATTAAGACATTATATTAGAGATTATATCGAGTTTTTATTTAACTTTTTATAAAAATTTCATTAGTCACCCGAAGATGGGATTATTTATCTTACAAAATAACTTAAATAAACCCATGTCTTTAAATGTTTGTATATAAAAAAATAAAATATAGATAAGAAACAGAAATATTTATTAGTCTTATATCATGTTAATTTTCGATTGTTTAAAATAACATAACGGATTTGTTTTCAGGTTTTAGGAGAGATCAAATACGAATTCAGATCAATCATCTTGGTTTTCTGGTAATAAGCGGAGAGCGTCCATTGGATGGAACAAGATGGAAACGATTCAAGAAAGAATTTGAAATCCCAACATATTGCAATGAAGATGCTATTCATGGCAATCTCATGCAGAGCATTCTTTCGGTGGTAATGCCAAAGAAAAGTCCTCAACTTCAACAAGAGAGAAAATTCCCACAAACCCAACACGAGAAAGAGAAAAAGACATATCAGAATAAGGAATTTGAAGGACGGGGTACTAATGAAGACACTGAATTCACAGCCAAAGAGGGAATACAAGAACATACCCATCATACAAGAGAGTACCAATCTGAAGAAAATAATGTGAATTTAACGCCCGAAACGACTAGAGAGGTTGCCTTTAAGTTCATGGTTGTGATCATTATGATATTGGTTATAGCAAGTTATCTAGCAGATATAAGCAAAAACCTCGTGGCTCATGCTCAATCATATTTTCACAATTAGATAAGGCTGGTTCTGTAAATTTTAATGCTGTGAAAAAGGAGAAAGTTGTTATATTTTAACTTGTTCAATTTGCCTTTTCATAATTGATATCCGAGATGATTAATTAACTTGTAAATGACTGATTCACTAAACTCTTCTGATCAATGTATACATATAAACTAATGAGTCATAAAAAGAGGCAAAATTAAGTTATGCAGATTAAGGTGATGTGATCAACAATTTGATCAGGATTCATTAATATTGCTGTTGACAGTGGAGGCACGCCAAGCAATTTTAATCAATACATTTACAAGTTTTGATATACTAATCAGAAAGTATGCCATATATATTACAAAAAAAATCAGATGCATAGGTTAATTAAACATTTATTTGATCAGTTATCTTTATACAAGTATATATTTGTATCTTATAAATTTAACTATTAATAAGCTAAAAAAATTAATAGGTGTCTTGAAATATTTTTACAAGTTATTCGTAAGCTTTTAAAACAATCTTTAACAAACAGGAGAGAAAATAATCCAATGTTCCAACATTCCAAATCAAATTAGAACATATTATTAAAATCAGATGGAGTATACAATAACGTCAAAATAAATCATCATAATTCGTCCAACAAACATGTAAAATTATAAAAATCAAAAACTGAAACAACGATGGTATCAACTGAAACTGATCATGTTTAAATAATGAAACAACGGATGAGAATTGCCACTGTCTCACATAAAGATGGTTGCAATGGCTAGCATGAGGAGGGAAGAAAAAGATGAGAGCACAGAATGAGCAGCAGAAGTGGGAGCAGGTGCAGGACTTGGGGCTAAAACATTGATGCTAAGTTTCATTTGATGAGCAGCACAATGGTTAGCTTTGCCACAAACGTACCACTTAGTCCCTTCAGCTTTCAGGGTAACCACGTCCTTCCCTGTCGAAAGTGCTTCGTTTTCTTGTGGGAAGGTGCACTCCTGGAATTGTGTGCCATTCACTTTGAACACGTTGTGCTTGCTATTGTCATAATTGAACACTGCAAAATAAATACATCAAAGGCAAATAGTTCATCTAAATTAGAGAAATATAATGTAATGAAATCCAAATATAGTGCAGTTGAAAAGAGAATTATCAGGAAAATCGTAGATATGTCACCACTTTACGTACCAAGGTTGTCACCAACATGGAAAACTTTGTCCTTTGCCCACTGTGCATAGTCAATATCAATAGTCCAACCCTGGTCATCACCCACAACGAAATCTGTTGCCAAAGCAACTGAAGAAAGCAAAACCATGAAAATGGCAAGGAAAGCAAGGCGAGCTGCGAAAGCCATTTGATTTGACAAAGAGAGTTAATCAAAACAAGTCCTGGGCTATATCTAGCTAGCAAAAATGCCTATGCAAATGCTATTACTAAGATGAATTGTTAGTCCACACCAATTTGCATTGCAATATGGACAATATATAGGACTTTTTATATATTGATTTTATCGACATAAATGAAAAACTTGCAAAAGTAAAAGGGGTAGTACCGGATCAGGCCGGCTTTAACCGTATAACTTTTATTTACATGCATACAATACAATACAATTTTCCAGTAGTATGAACAGAGTTATATACTTGTAAGCAATTTGAATATAAACAAATAGGGTTATTCAATTGTTTTGGAGTGGCGAGTCCTTCAATACATGCCAATATGCCATATGGAATGTGTCAAATGTCAATAAATAGGTACATAGGAAAAGGGTATATTTGTTCCTGCGGCCTGCCTCCTGCGCTGTCGTATTATTGCCATACGCTGATTCTTTGGCTTGTAAACGTACGTCTATACAAATTCAAAATAACATCAAATTTGTATCTTAAAGACTACCAGTTAAGTTCAAACAATCTTTATTGGTATAAAATTTGTAGTGTATTTAAGAGCAGTATACTCGATTAATAGAACTGATAACTTTTAAAAGTTAGATATTTATTATTTATCAGATAAAAGTTATTTAAATATTTTTATTCATTTTTTGTTATTTTGAACAAATCAATATCATTACATTTCTGATATTTCTTAAATGAAATATAGAATGATAAAAGATTATAAAAATCAAATACAAACAATTAAAACTAAAAATTAAAATTACGCATAATTTAAAATATGAAAATTAAAAAACAAAGTTAAACCTTTCTTCCTTAACCAATACTTCTATTGGTTATCATTTGTTGGGATTACTTATAACAACACTTTTTTTTCACTGAATACTTCTCTCCTCTCTTTTTTTAATATTTAATATATTCCTTTTTTATTTTACTGAACAACCTTAATATTTCTAAACTACCCTCAAGATTTCGTACCAATTATTTCTCTATTTTTATTTTGTTTTTTTTTTTCAATATTTTGGTCTAAATTGATGCAAGCCTGATTTTTATGAATGGGCCTTTATGTGTGAGCCCAATAAATGGGTCTTTATTTGTGAGCCCATTGAAATAACCCATTTGAAACCCAACAATAATCCAACTCTCCTTCAGAGACCTTCACTTTGTTCTCCCTCCGCCGCACTGCTACCACTTGCCCCCTGCATCACTGACCTCTTGGAACCAACAACGTTTCAAAGAAACAAACGATGGGTAAACTTTCTTTCCTAAAATTCCCAAAAATTATTAATTTTCATCTTTCCATTCAATCCTAAGTGTCTTCAATTTTTTAATTTTCAGAGAAACAAACCACCGATAAATCACGCCGAGAACGAAGGAAAGAGTCCCGCTTGGCAAAAAATGCATCAAAACACCAATCCTGGCTCCTCCACCAGGTAACTCTATCATTCTCCGTTTTCTTTTTCTTTTTTCCTTTTTTGGAGATATTTTATGTTTTGTTTTCTCATATGAACAATGTGAAAGTTGTTTTATTTTTATTTATTTTTTTTAATTTAACGTTTATAGAAATCTCGAGCTATGAAAAGAAGTGACAATAATTCAGAGTTAAAAGCTAAAAGCAAATCAGATATAACAGTTAGTACTAGTGTTGAGGAAACACAAGTTGTCAAGTTAGAATCTTACACTACGAAACATGAGACAGTTGAAGAAGAATGCACTGTGTCAGGGGAACTTGGTGGTTCTGTTGCAAAGAAAATGAAGAAAATGAGCAAGGGTTCTCACAAAAGTTCTAGGAAGACGATGTCCGAGATGGGTGTTACAGAGATTTCTGTGGCTGCAATGAAGGATCTAGAATTGGAAAGAAAGCTTTTCAAGAAGCTTAAGGTGAAGGAAGGAAAATTGAGGGGAGTGGATGATGGGTTGAACATATTACTTGAAGGAATGTCATCTGTTGTTGATTGCTTGGGGGACGGGGAGGTTCATGGTGCTACTGAATTGCCTGTGAAGAGATTGAAGAAGAGCTTATCAAGTAAGAAGGACAAAGTGTTGAAGAAAAGGATGAAAGTAGAATCAATGGATGGTGTATCAGGACCTGTAGAAGCTTCTAATCAAGATGTAACATTGGAAGTAGCTCATGATAGCATGCCTTCAGGGAAGAAGCATAAGAAAAGAAAGTTGTCTCGTCAACAGCAGGAAGATAATGTGGAGGATGATGCTGTTTGTGTATCCAACCCTGAGGAATCCTGTCGAACGGAGGTGAAATTGGGGGATGCTCCTGCTGAAGTTCCTGTAAAGAAAGCTAAAGAAAAATATATTGCACCTCACTTGAGAGCTCGAGCTGGCAGTGAACCTGAAGAGCATACTCAAATTCGAAGACGTGTGCGAGGTAAGGAGGAGAGGCTTGTTTTTGACTTTGTATCTGTAAATGTGTATCATTGATTGTTTTGGTTTCAATTTGATATTGTTTCTTCAGGTCTTCTTAACAGGCTTTCTGAATCTAATGTTGAGTCAATTACTGGAGAATTGTCCTTGATCTTTCAGGTATACCACTTCTAAAGTTGTCTTACAAATGAATACTTGTTTGATTTCTTTTTATAAAATTCGTATGATCTCATTTTGAATGGATAAAAACAGATGTGAAAAGGAAAACGTAAATGATTCTAGATAGTCTTATAAAATTGTCATTTTTTTTCTTCCTTTTAATTTTGAATTTCACTCTTTACAAATGAAAAAAGGTTATCTTTTTATACTATATGTGCTCACTACTGAAAATAAATTATTTAATCTTGAAGAAGGAATTTGATCTAGTTTGCCTTGTCAAATTTGAGTTAGTTTGGAAGTAACCATAACCTTTTGCTAACTCTAGCAAGGTTGCAGCTTTCTTGAAGGCATAAATTGATATCTCTTATGAATTAGAATAAGTTTGGTAGAATTTTCTTTCTTTATTTCTTTTTGAAATCTTAGATATAACTTCTCTGTGTAAAGAATGAGTGCCCAGTGTTAAATATTTGTGCTGCTACTCTTCCCCATTTTATGCTTTAACATGAATCGTGTGGGATCATATGAATGAGTGGAAACCGCTAGTGCAATGGTTATTTGAAGGATAGTTGCTATTCCAACTACTTAACTTGTGGACATGACATACTTATACATGCCAACATTTATTTTTGACATATGCATATGTTTCTAATGTTTTATTTTTTCAGACGAGTTGCTTCTACGAAAGAAAAGCAATTTTGTTCCTCTGGAGTTTTAATAGTAACTTCTATGATGTAATCCTTTGCAGTCTGTTTCGCGTAGTGTTGCTTCACAAATCGTGACCGAGGAAATTTTAGCATCATGTTCTGGTGGCCCTCGTGGCAATCAACAGTTAAGGATTCTTTGCCAAACTGTTTTACTTTACCTCAGTGAAATTGCCAAATGCTTGATTTTATGCTTACCACACTGGAAGCAATTTGTTGAGCACCTTTGTGGTAGTAAGGGAAGGTCGGAAAATAAAAGAAGATATTTAAGCAAATTTAGTTGTAGTCTTAGATGATGGCATAAAAATACAATACATTTACAACATTGAAAATTGAAGGGATGCAGTCAAATTTAGTTTTAGCCTAAAGCCTTAGATGCTGATGCTCCCACCAGGAAAAGTGAAAGTATACAAGAATAATGACATAGGAAATGCAAAAGGGTAAGGACATTCTTTGCAATGATGAGAGAAAAAATGTGATTGATAAGGCTTGTTTGAGAATGATGTCTTTGATTGAATTGCTAAGGATACTCGTGCAGGAATCTGTGTAGTTTATAATAATTATTCTTTAGTGTCGAGGCTATTGTTATTATTGTAAGGATTGTATAGGGTACTCTGAAAGTATTGTTTAGTCCCTGGATATGCCAGATTCTTCCTCTTCCTCTTTGATCTTCCATTAAATATTGTGTTTCTTTCTCCCAAATGCCATTCCCAACTGTAATTTTTCCTGATGGCTGTTCTTGGAGTCTAACTTTCTGGTATTTTTAAGTTGTTGTGTTCATTGTAATTGACATTTTTTGCTGGTGAAGGTATGCTGCTGTTTTTGCTGCATTTGTTGCTGGCATGGCCTGTTTGGTTGGTGTTGACTTCAGTGCAAAGTTTATGGCTGCCTTCGCCAAATGTTTTGAGGTATAGAATGCAAACGATAAATTAAAGCTGAATTTTCTGATTAGCTTTTTATTTGTTTCCTTTTTCAGCTTTGGTTTCTTCTTCATATGATATTTCACCTCTTGCTCTCATTACAGTGTTTTAAAGACAAAGTATTATAATCTTCGTATATTTTCTTCCCAGGATGAGTACAACAAAGAAGACAATCTCTCCCTGCGGAATCTTACTCTTCTCTTTTCCTATTTATGCATATTTGGAGTCTGTGCCAGGTGAGTAACTGTTTTGAACCAAAGTCTTTATGTTAACTTATTCTAACTACTCTTTTCTAAAATATATCTCTTAATGCTTTCAGTGATTTAATATATGACTTTCTTATCATGCTGAGCAAGCGTTTAATTGAGATAGATGTCTCTATCATTTTGACAGTGTTACAATGTAAGTGTTCCGTCTTTTTATTTTTGTTTCTGCTTCTAATTAGAGATTCTGTGTATGTAGATTGTAGAGTTTTATATGAAAGTTCCCTACTAATTCTTATCTCTAGCAGACTGCTCAATCATCGTATGCTTAAACATGAAAGGACCCTCCTTTAAGGAATTGCTAGTGAAATGAATTATTTTCCTTTATAGGCCTTTTGTGCTTTGTTGATAATATGCAGTTTGTTTTGTTGGGTTTGGATGGGATGCACTGATGTTGAGGAGCTGTATCTTATAAGTATCTATATTTTCAACTCTAAATTTTATCTTTTAAGCTGCTCAGAAGCATTTGTGTAATATTTGGTTTGTTGTTTATAGAGTTAACCAAGCCTATGGTAGCCTTACTGAGTGATTCTGAAGGTGTATCAAGCACTTGGGGTGTTCTTACATGTCCCAAAATATCAGCAAGATAGGACACTTCTGTGTTTGTTTCATTTTTATTATTTTTACCACTCAACCATAAGATTTTGATGCTGTATGGTATTGCAATAGATGAGTAGACATGTAAGATAGAGAGGATCAAGAATGCATGCATAAGAAAGAAAGTAGGGTAGCGTCTATTGCAGAAAAGATAGTAGAATCTTGTCTATAGTGGTTTTGCCATTAGAGAAAAATGCTAATGGAAAACTCTGTAAGAAGAGTGGACCAGATGCAGGATAGCCTTATAATTATCAGTAGGGGACCAAGAAAAAATCCCAAGATGAAACCATTGAGAAGGAGTTATATCTAAATGGATTTTCTAAGGATTCATGATAGAATATAATGGCATCATTTTAGTCATGTAGAATGTGGCTGACACCATCTTGTGGGAAAAGACTTTGGTGGTTGTTAATTTTTGTTGGTGGTTTTGCCTCTTTCTTCTTTCCTCTCTTCACTCTTACATTTATCTCCATTATTTTCCTCTTATCTAAGTGAACTGATGATTCCACGTAATATTTGTAAGGTAGTATGGCCAATTCTCTGTATAATTCACATAGGAACTTGGTCAAATAGTGAACCATCTCTGACTTTTTTGTTATATTTGTTTGAGTAGGTTGTGGGATGAAAATCAGGGCTGATGATCCAGCTGCCATGAAAAATTTCATTCTTAGTGTTCAGAACACATCAAATAAGTTGAAGGCTTCTGCTGGAGATGACCATGAAAAGAAAACTAGTAAAAGAGTAAGCATGCAATGTTTTATTACAAAGAAAAACTACTTTTTTTCTGCACACAGTTCAGCACTGATTACTTGGTAAAACTTTTAGATGGAGTTCATGCTTGAAATCATATATGATATCAAGAACAACAAAAGAAAGCCAAATGAGGACCCTGCACATCACACTCGGATTAAAAAGTGGTTACAGAAGGTACCTGTCTATAATTTGTGTGTTGTGGCATTGTCTATCACTGAAATTTATTTTTTTTGCTGAGTTATCACTTGTTATGTTCCATTATGGTTTCTTTTCAAAATAACCCCCCACCCCAAAATAAATAAATAAATTATGTATAGATTGTGCTTTGCAAAGGAAATCCTTTGCCAATCTCTTCTGATAGAATTCTCCCCCTCCCCCTATTGGTAAACCATGCTAATTATGCTATATTTAGTGTAGTTCTATAACTTTTTTTTTTTTACCCCGCATAGCTTGCTTGGACAGTTCAGAAATGGTATTCCTGTGGCTGTGAGCATCTCTGCTGCAAATGATACTGTTTTTAAGTCCAAACTACGCACTTTATTTTCTGGAACTATTCAAGCATATATAATTGAATATCTGAGCTACGTATTATGGTCTAGGGAGTGTGTAGGACTGTGTTTAAACTCTCTGCTTGTTGAAAGATTACTAACTTTCCAGATTTCATTTCTGGAACTATTCAAGCATATATAATTGAATATCTGAGCTACGTATTATGGTATAGGGAGTGTGTAGGACTGTGTTTAAACTCTCTGCTTGTTGAAAGATTACTAACTTCCCAGATTTCATTTGCCTAGTAGCCTAAAGTTTATTTCTGCTTCTGTTAGTTGTTTTGTGGTTTTCCTTTTGTCATTTAACTCAGCATATATATTGTGAAAAAAGAAATTCTTGTTTAAGATTTCCCCTTTGAATTACTCTGTTATTTCAGAAGGCTCATAGGTCCCTCAAATTCTTAATTTAAATTTTATTTTCAGTTGAGAGTTGATGACATTTTGATTAGAGGGCTTAAATGGAGCAAATTACTTGATCCTGACAAGAAGGGCCAATGGTGGTTGTCTGGAGATGTGGCTACTGCAACAGATGATGTTGAAGAAGTTGCCAACAGAATAGACAAAGATGTTCTTGAAACACAGCGAATGCTGCAGCTTGCTGCTGCTCAAAAGATGAACACAGATGCCAGAAGGGCAATCTTTTGTATAATAATGAGTGGGGAGGACTATGTTGATGCATTTGAGAAGCTTCTAAGATTGGAATTACCAGGCAAGCAGGTAAACCTTTTTTCTTTCCTTTTATCTTTTAGTTTAGTAATGTCTTATTTCAATTATGTTGCCTTCCATCTTGTGATATACAGGACAGAGATATCATGCGGGTTCTTGTGGAGTGTTGCTTGCAAGAGAAAGTTTTTAACAAGTATTATACAGTGCTGGCTTCCAAGTTGTGTGAGCATGACAAAAATCACAAGTTCACTCTACAGGTATTGATTTTCTCTCCTTGTTATAGGATTGAGATGGGAACTAAATTGAAGTAGAATTGTGTTGTATTTACATCACTACTCAAAACAGTTACATTTTTAATTACATAAGTAGAGAAAAAATATGACGAGTAGTGCTTATTATGAGAAATATGAGGAGTGCATCATAACTGTTAAATTGTGAATCAATAGATTCACCTGAATACCTGATCCAGGTGCTTGCATGTCCTGTATACCAAGAAAAAAGCACATTTCTCCCTCCTGCTAAAACAGCAAACCTTTCGAATTGGAAGAAAATTATTCAGAGAATGTGATCAAAATCCTTGTTCTCAAAAAATTCGTTCAGCTTTTTTCTCTCTTTACTTCAAAAGCACATACATCTGGAGTTGAATAATCTGTCATCAATATCTCTGTAAGGTAGACACGAAGGAAGAAAGAAAGAATGCAAGAAAGTGTGCACCATTGCACTAAGACTCTCTTGGAAAGATTTCCTCGGGAGGAAAGAGTGTGATACAACTGAGGGAAATTTGAGATGCTGTCTCTCCTTAACAAACTCTCCAACTGTCAAAACTGAACCTCTCTCTACAGGGTTTCCTCTCAATTGATTATCTCCTCTCTATCGTAACTAACACCTCCCCCCCCCCCCCTTTTTTTCTCATATTCTTTATTCAGTTAATACAACAGAGTTGGGCCTTTCTAATTATACCTTCTTAGACCTTCTACTGTAGACGATTAATTGGGGGCCTAAAAATCTCCTTTTATGTATTTTGGGCATGTTGTGTTGTGGTGTGCAGTCTGAAAAGTTAGGAGGCGAATCCCCAATATCATAGACAATTAAACTGAATCTTTTCAGGGTTTTTTTAGGGAATATTATCTGAGTTTGAAATTGTTAGAAGCTAATTTTTTCCGACTTCATTATAATTCATTATTTATTTATTATTATTTCGTATGCAATCTGAATTGCAGGTTGGTTTGTGTTAACAAACATGCATTTATTTGCACTCCATTAGGCTTCCCTTGGTAATGGTAAATTTTTGGTTTCATGATTTGTGCTGTTTCAGTAATCAGTAATTAAATTTCTCAATCTATTTACAAATTTTTAGAAGGGAGATCATGTCTCTACTATCTGAAACGCATTCTTTTTGAAAAATGAACCTAATTGTTACAATTTCTCAAAGATGGTTCCTTTTCATATATGCATATAGGCGTACTGACTTTCAAATTCTCTTAAATTGGTGAGGAGATTGTAATAACCACAACTAAAATATCAGTAACAATCCATGCTTAGAACGTGGATTTTAACTCAGTTATTTTTCTTGATGTTATGACAATACTTCTGTTCCTATATCAACTTTTTCATGTAGCCTTTTCCTATGTCTTTTGTTTGCAGTTTTGCCTGTGGGACCACTTTAAGGAACTCGAGTCAATGCCACTTATGAGGTCAATGCACCTGGCAAAATTTGTGGCTGAAATGGTTGCCTCTTTCACTCTCTCCCTTGCAGTTTTGAAGACTCTGGATCTGAATGATATCACCCTATTGACACCAAGAAGGATTATGCATTTCCGCATTTTGTTTGAGGCCATTTTTGAGTATCCTGAAAACTTGGTATGGAACATTTTCACACGTGCAGCAGTGACCCCTGAACTTGAAAGTCTTAGACAAGGCATGGAGTTTTTCATAAAGGAGCACGTTGTGAAAACCAATACAGCTCTGTCTCAAAAATTTAAGTTAGCAAAAAGAGCCCTTAATAATGTGGAGGGTGTTTTGATGTGAATGTAAATATGTATTTACCCAATTTTGTAACTTATTGCAGTAAAAAAATTTATCCATTTTTTCGTTGGCACGTGCAAGCTAGGTTACTAGTCGCATTGTTGCTGCTGCATCTAAGATCAACATCAAAGCCACGATTTAGTTTACTGAAAACATGGGAACCACTAAAACTGAGTGTGGAGAAGATCTGCCAAGCACAAAGAAAATACTAAGAAAAATAGTTTTTTCTCCGTACAGCCATTTATTTGGCTCTCAATGGACGGGGCATCACATGTAATTCAAACTGGTCCAAATAAAATGAGAATAAAGTGATTTAGCAATTACAAAAAACTACTTTCGCTTGTTTATGTTTTGAATAAAAAATTTGTTCTAATTTATTTGTCATTTTCAATGTTTAGAAAAATTATTATTATTATTAGTTATGTTTTTATTTATGTATATTTTTAAATGTTTTGCTTATTGTAATTGAGGAAAAATAATAATGAAGATCATGTTAGAAAATAGTTCAAATTTTTAACCTGCATATTATGTATGCTATTCTTTTAATACAAAAACTTACGTTAAAACATCAAACTAACTAAATAAAACTAAGAAAATCGTACATTACACAAGCTACTTCGTCAATGCTAAGATTTTATAGTCTCTAAGATTGATACAACTCAAATCTTATGAATATTATATGTTAAGAATCATGGAATGCTAGCAACGTTTGTTTTCAAAGTATAGATTACGAGGTATTTTCAAATTCAAAAGGCTCAAAATAGGAACAAGATTACTAAACTGAGTAATTAAAATTTGAAAAATAAAATAAAATTGCATTAACAAATTCTTGTAGTGACATGATAAATTACAAGGTTAAATAAAAAATATTTAAAAGGCTTTAATATGTTTTTTTGTCGCATTTTAATAATTTTTTTGTTCCTTCAAGCAATTTTTTTCGTTTGTCTCTACTTTTTTATAAATTTTATTTTTAGTCTCTATTATTGATATGATTCATTAAAATACTTCAAAGTGTAAGATTTTTGTTGAACTATATCGGTTACAGGAATTAAAAATAATAATTTGTAAAAAAAAAAAATTCACACAGAGGAACTAAACAAAAATTTAAAATATAAAAATAAAAAACATATTTAAGTATATTTAAAATTATATAATTTCATTATCTTATCGATGAGGAGAATACGTGTAAATACAAGCCTAACAAGATTTTTGAAGAAAAGAATATTGAAACGATTAAAGAAAAATGTAAAAATAAAAGAAAATAATAAATGTGATAAGAGAATGACATAATAAAGAAAAATAAAAATTATTAAAGAGTATTAAACAAGTGTGAACATTATTTAAATAAAATTTTTTAAAAAGTAGTGGAAAAAGTTGTTTAAAATTACGAGTATAGCCAAATATTTGTTTTGCCATTATAGGTGTGATTACATCCGTGAATTTAAATTATATAGGATCATTGCTCAAGATGGAAAATAAATAACTAGGTAGTTGAATGCATTTGTTAGTTTAAAGTAATAAAATTTTTAAAATTCATAACTAATATTATAATTTTTAGTTTTAAATTTTTGTATTTTTTGGGTTTTGAATTTTATCATTTATTCTTAAATTTAAATTATAAAAATTAATTATTATTTTTCAAACTAAGTATATTTAGTAATAGAGTAATAACGCATGTCAAAAAATACATGTAATAGTAATTGCAGTTTGAAATGGTGATAATTATGATAATATCAAGTATGATAAAAAGAATTATCTTAATAATTATAAAAATGACTTATACCAATTTCTATAGTAACGGATTAATCACAGTTAAAAATCAAAATCATAATAATATAGTTTTAAAATTGAGATAAAATTAATTTTAAATTGAGTTTAAAAAAAAAAAAACTCAGCTCCATTTTCAAAATTTTATTTTTAAAAATTTGTATTCAAAAACTAAAATATGAAAACTTAAAATTACCTCGATGAGGGATCGCCCTTGGGTGAAAAAGGCTCATCGTATAGCAGTTTAGCACAGGATGCAACACAGCTAAACTAACTTGATCTTTTCCTTAAAAAAATAGCTCCCAAACATGGCATAGTAATTTTACCGAGGCAGCTAGAAGCCGCAATAAGATAGTCGATTGAAATAACTCATTGTTATTTGCACAAAACTGGTAAAAATTCATATTAAGGATGAATTGTGGCAAAGCCACGAACATACAGCCATTAAGGAAAACAGGAGTTGGAGAAAAAGAGGGGTTGAGAGAGAATCAATTGCTCACAGAGCATACTACGACTAAATATTCCACACACGGTTATTGAAACAACCAAAATAGAAAATTTTCCCTTTTTGTGTAACTCAAGCAGAACCAATATTATGACTTATGGATTCTACTTTCTTATACCATTCACTTGGCAAGCTCGTTGCGGATGAGTTTTGCTGCGGCAACCATGTTTGTGAGGGCTGGCTTCACCTCTGTGTACTTACGGGTCTTGAGCCCACAGTCAGGGTTGACCCACAAGATGTTTTTCTCAAGCACTGCAAGCATCTTGTTGATCCTGTCAGCAATTTCTTCAGTTGGTGGTATTCTTGGGGAGTGAATATCGTAGACACCAGGGCCAATTCCAGCACCATACTTCACTCCTTCACGGAAGACTGACAGGAGTTTTTCATCAGAACGAGAGTTCTCAATGGTGATAACATCAGCATCCATATCAATGATTGAGTGGATGATGTCGTTGAAGTTAGAGTAGCACATGTGAGTGTGGATCTGTCAATATGAAAGTTTATTATTGCACATGCGCAACTAAAGAGAGAAAACTGTAACCATTGACCTGTAATCCAAAAATACCTGAGTGGAATCCTGCACACCAACATTGGTGATCCTGAAGGAATGGACAGCCCAGTCCAAGTAGTGAGCTTGCTCTGACTTCCTCAGTGGCAGTCCCTCTCTCAAAGCAGCTTCATCAATTTGGATAACACCAATGCTAGCCTTTTCAAGGTCTTCTACTTCGTCCTTGATAGCCAAGGCAATTTGATAGCAGGTCTCAGATCTGCAAATAGATTCATACAATTGGTTAGAAATGAGTATTGATGTTAGGTTTTCCTACCACATTATAAGGGTGTTGAGTTTATATACCTGGGCTGATCATTTCTAACAAAGGACCAGTTGAGAATGGTAACGGGGCCAGTAAGCATTCCCTTCATTGGGCGCTTGGTAAAGCTCTGAGCCAAAGATGACCAGAAGACAGTCATTGGCTTTGGGCGGCTCACATCACCATAGATGATTGGTGGCTTCACACAACGAGATCCATAGGATTGCACCCATCCATTAACGGTGAAGGCAAAGCCTGACAATTGCTCGCCAAAGTACTCAACCATATCATTCCTCTGCAATGAAAGGCACCCACAATTAGTGCAATTTTAGAGTCAGCAATCTAATTGCGAGAAGAGAAAAACTGGCAAGAGTATAGTTGCTCATCAAAAAGAAAGGTGAAGAAGAATATATCAAAATAACGTAAATGCAATAAAAGGCTTTCTTTACTTCAACAAACTAATATTTAGTCATTATGAGAAGATGAGAGCTGACCTCAGGTTCTCCATGAACCAGGACATCAATATCAAGCTCTTCTTGAAGTTCAACAACTTTGCGGATTTCCTCCTTAATTGCCTTAACATACTCTTCCTCGGAGATCCTGAAGAAAACAGCATTATATTTAACATAGGAAGCCACATGGTCAAGTAAACAAGGCAGACATTAGCAGTCTCAGCATTCTCACTTGTTAGCCTTGAATTCCCGGCGAACCCTCCTCAATTCTACAGTCTGAGGGAACGATCCAATAGTGGTGGTTGGGAGGATTGGAAGGTTAAGCTTCTTTTGTTGGGCATCCAGTCTGGCACTGACATTAGTAGCTCGGCGATGGTCAGAACCCTTCAATGCAGCAGCCTGAGAGGGAAAGAAAAGAAGAGAGCCATTAGTAGAGGCAGAATCATTTTTACAAAGTATCCAATTTCACAAAATGAGCAGTTAAACAGAATTGAGAAAGAAAAGGAAGCACTCACAGCCTTCTGAACAGCCTCATTAGTCACTCTTGGAGAGGACTTCCTTGAAGCCTGAGCGGCAGCATTAGCAGAGAAGAAGGCCTGAAAATGAAATCACAGAAACTTTGATTGAGTGAATTATTCAATGAAACATAGAGGGAATTGCATCTAATTAGTTCGTATTTCAATAAGAAACTCCCAAGTCACAAAACAAACTCCATTTTGTTCACAAAACAATGAAACATGCATTTTATTCACAACTTCTATTAATGTCAAAGAATTTTAAATTTTAATGCCTCTGATATACTTTATTTTTGCCTCTTTATGCACTTAAGATGCATTACCTCATCCTTTTTGCCAGACAAGGCATTAGCCAAAGCATTCACTTCAATAATTTTCTGGGCAGCAAAAGCTAACCATGACTTGATCTCATCATCCAACTTGGTCTCATTCACAAGATCGACAGCAGTGTGAAGAAGGGAGCAAGAGGTAGATACAACGAGTTTATCTGCACAAATTAAAAGAGATACATCGAGTCAATATATTAAATAAAACAAAAGTTATCAAAATTTCCTATGATATTCATGTTTAATGAGTACCTTTGCCCACAATGCCCTCAAGACCATGCAATGTACTGAGAGAAGCAGCAAGATCATTAGCCCAAATGTTCCTTCCATCAACCACTCCAGCAAAGAGGTATTTTCCACTGGGAAATCCACCCTTGATCAAATCAAGTGTCTGAGTTCCACGGATTAAATCAAAACCATAAGCGGTGACACCAGTCAGAGATGTGAGGGTCTTGTATGCTGCAGCAGGGATGTCTGCAAAGTAGGTCTCAACAAGAACATTCAAACCAGACAAAGTTGGTGCAAGTTCTGCGTATGCATCAGTAAATGCTTGCAACTTGTGAGATTCAAGGTCCAAGACAAGGGTAGGTTCATCAAATTGAATCCATGAAGCACCAGCTGCCTTAAGATCAGCAATCACCTCCCTGAGTTCAGTTATAATAAGCATGTTAGAGAAATAACATAAATACATAAAAAGAAAATGATAGCACCCAACAAGAAGTTAAAATTCTTACTTGTAGATAGCAAGAACTTTGGGAAGGAGAGAAAGGAGAG